CTACTTTGTTGTGTGGACCACGAAGGAGGCGATCATCATCCCCATCCCCAAAGACCCTGCATGGCATGGAAATCTCCTCCTCCTGGAACAATTCTACACCCAGCATATGCTCCCTGTGTTGGCCAGTAGAGAGGACATTTCAATAAACATACTCTTAACACCCTCGGACTCTGCGTTGTGTTTCGTATGTGTGATGGGGTGTTATGCAGAGGGGAGGAAAACAGGACACAGCAGATTGGGATTGTGGTGGAGATGCTGAGCAGTTATTTAATTGTTGCATGTAATTATTATTATACTGCATGCTTCTTAGTTATTCCATCTTTTGCTGTAACATGGATCTGTATGTAACTCTATATTTACTTGTTATCTACCACACTTCCTTCTACATCATACACCATCATTATACATGATGGTGTATATAGGATATATATATTTGTATACATATCTGTAAATTGTATAATTTTATTTAAACGTCTTTTTGATCTCTCAAACTGAGTAAGATTGACAATAAAGTTGACTTTGAAAAATATATATATTCTTTATGAAAATAGTTGACTGTTGTCAAATGAATCCAAATGAAACGTTGGACTGAACTACAACTACGCCTTTAAATCTCTACGGACTGTTTTTCAGTGGGATGGCAAGTTCCTATCTTTAAACATTTATTAGTTTTTTCTCAGAACAGATTACATTGTCTGAAGTTAATTTAACTTTGCCGACCATGTAAGGTCATCATTAAAAGGTACAATCAATTTGTTTAGGGTTGACTAAAATAATGAAAAACATTCATTTGGATAATTTACTGACAGAATAAGAAACTCAATGATGCTCTACTCACCTGTTCCCCTTTTATAAAGTGAAACAGTTGAAACGATAGATTTTAGTAAACTTAAAAACAACCTTCTCCAAAAGCTATCAAGGAATATACCGAATACTTGTTTTAGAACTTTATTACATATTTTTATATAAATAGTTTGAATGATCCATAATTGACAGAAGCTTGTGTTTACACTGACCTGTTACTCATATATTAATGTCTTTGTAACTTCAGTAAACCACTACCTCACTAATTTATTTCATTCATCACGGTTCAGTAAACTAAGTGATACATGAACCAGTTTAATCATTATTATAACGTAGGATTGCAACTCTTTGAAAATGTAGGTGGCTCTTAAAAGAGCTGTTGTGTTTGGGTGTGCTGGTCTCAGATCAGTCTAAGCCCTCTCTCCGCGGATGCGGCGGGCCAGCTGGATGTCCTTGGGCATGATGGGGACCCTCTTTGCTTGGTTCATCTTACTGGGGGGCAGCTACATGGATGTCGGTGCAGTCCACAATCATTGCGCAGTTGAAGGCAGAATGAATTTATTATTGACTCCGAATGAAGCACAACTTCATGTCATACAATACAATGACTTTATTTGTAATTGTGTAAAAAAATATGAGCATTGATTAGCAAGCAGGACCTGCAGGAACAGAGAATGGTGATGGAGCTGGGAAGAGAGAAGAATAAAGAAAACAGATCAACTTTATTATCGGATATTAAAAATTCAATTTCAAAACAAGTTGCCGCTCCTACAGTTTTCTAGTATGTAAAGATGATTTCACATGACCTATGCAAAATATCAGACTCAATACATGTGTGTCTCTGGGGGGTGCATTGTGCCTTTGATGTATATAAATAATATACCATAACCAAATACTATTACGTACAGTGGAAATCAGGTTGCCAGAGCAGGTCAGTGTGCATGTTCCTCAACGTCTCAGCAGTTACAGGTGAGGTAAAGAAAATAAAAGAGAAAAAGGTCAGTAACAACACTTTAAAGTAACAACACTTTGAATAATTATCTCTTCTAACAATTTTCTCTCAATAAGCACACAACGACTGTCTTTCCAACAAACAGATTGTCATCACAATGAAACACGTCCAGAAGAATGTCATGCAAAGCTCCATGCCTGCCTTCGACTCTCCCTGAACTGCTTCCTTAGCACCCGGTGGAGGGCGCAGTAGGCTACTCTTCAAAAGTTTCACGAAATACTTACCATCATGTTTGGTTACTGTTTAACATTTTGGTTTACTTCATGTAATAAAATAATAACTTCATGGTAAGGCTACTAAAAATGACAAGGCTAAGTAATGTAATGCTAACTAACGTGCTCGCTACTCGTCGCTACTAGCTAGGTAGCTAACTTGACTATGTTCCATGCACAACATGTATATTACCTATGATATTACCTGATATGTCTGATCCAGCGACTCCTGGTCCTTTCATCAGACGGGAATCGATAGAAGGAGCAAGTGGTATGATCACTTTTATGACTACAACCTGGTACAAAGCACACAGGCATCTTGTAAAAGTGAATTTATTTTTAGCGATCTATAATTTATTGGAGGGAATAAATCAGTTATGAGATCTTCTTCTTCTTCGCTTTAATTACGAGTCTTATTATAAATCACCGAGCATGCCTGTGACATCACTTACGCGACCCAGAATGGGATTTGGGATTTGTAGTCTTTGTAGTAGCGTATTTTTCATAGTCTTATATTTCAGCAGTTTTACGACAAAATGTGACTTTTTTTACATGGAAATTATTGTTTAAGATTGACAAACATCATATATGTAGTTCGTGGCACAATTCAAACGGGATCAAAAGATACGTGTTCTCTCTCCATTGAATTCAATGTACATGTTTCGCTTCCGGGGTCCCATGGTCCGGAAGTAGATGGGCGTGACTTCGCCTCTCCATAGTTAAATGTATTTATCAAGGGGGCGTTTCAAGTCCTGCGGGGGGGTTTTCCTTTTCAGCAGGGGCCTACCCCTTGCCGATCACGGACCCACACGGGTAGGCGTCTGAAATGGAGCGCTCCATCTGTATCTCCGTGTTTACTGGGTCTTTTTGCATGAAACAAAGACTGGGATATAGATTCAAGCCAGTACTTTCGACAGAAACACACGGCAATGTTGTCCGGACTGTTGTTTTTATGCGGCACCGGCTTGAACAGGTCATGTGATCTGATCATGCCGGCGTGACGGTCGACTCCAAAGGGTTAATATTAAATACATATAAGTATTTTTACAACTTGTATTTAGAAATACTCTGTTGTAATTATTGATGCATAAATGTATTAATCTGTGTGAATCTGTGCTGTCCTGTTTTTCACTCTCACCCTGTTGCTGTTTGAACTACTGAATTTCCCCACGGGATTAATAAAGGTCCATCTTATTTTATCTTAATGTATAAGTTGATTTACTTCAATCTACTGTACTGTGTAAAAACACCCCAACAATATTACAAGAAATATACTGCATAAAGCAAACTATATACTTTATTTGAAATATTGATGTTTTTTCATTATAGTAGCTTGTGAAAACCATACAGTAACAAATAAGTGATTAAATGCTACAGTATTCAGCAAACATAACTGCAGAGCTGCAAACATTGCAAACAGACTAAGTTCATCAACACCCAGTTGTCTTTGTGTATTTTGTGAATGAAGCGCCATCTTATGGTTAAATCCTGTAATTGAACAAATGGGGAAATTGGGCAACGCCCTCTAGCAATTTGGCAACACCCCCAGCCGCTGGCATCCGCTGGGCTTTTGACTGGGACACACCCATCTGAGTCTGATCTGGAGTGCTTCATCTGTACAAAGTGAACGCATAGATGACGTCACGACCTAGTTTTTCGGATCATGTGACTACTGAAAATGGCCAAAATGGCAGCTGCCTGACGGAATATACAGGTTTTTGATAAAAAAAGAGCTATGAAATCATTATTTACTGGGGAATATCGCTGATTTCTTCAGGGTATGGTTTAAACATAATGTTTCACTAAATACTGAAGTTTTGATTAACTATCTAATGACTGGAGCCTTCCTTTAAGGTTAGTTTGGCCATTAAAATGCGTTTTGATGTCATTTGATGCGAGAAATATGAGTTGTTATTTCAGATTATGTGTGCAGTGGATGTACATGATCTTTAGTTTGCTAGTTATTACGAAGATTACTTCAGGAAATTGTGTCCATTCAACGTTTTCATTGTTACCAAGGTGGTTGCTAGGGACGCTGCTATCAATATTATTTCTGTTATGTTGTGTAACTGTTTAATGGTGTTATCTTTATTGCTACCCTCTTCCCCGTCAATTTATAGTGTTGGTCCACAGCGCAAACGTATTAGTTCAACAAAATCCGCATATAAAGATACGTTATTTCCCCCTGTGCAATTCCAGTCTCACATCTCACAGCACATCGTCATTAACAAATACCGGAAACAGACCGAATTTAAAAAAAAAAAAAAATACTTTATTCCGAGTGTGCTTGCTTTTCTCTTTGAAAGTCATCACATAACGGCATTGTAATACACGGTTCGGCTGCATTAAATATTACATATCTGCCGTAGTTCTCTATTTATAGAGCCCTGATGAGAAGACTTCTTGACAAACATGAGGAACTGCCGCCAACACTGAAAACGTGACGTGGATCATAAATATATCAGCAATTAAACAACATCTTACATTTCTTTTCACACAATACGTCTCCTTGCAGTATTGTTAGAAATTAAAATCAATGTTGATATGGCGTAATTTGAATTAAATACACTATTTAATTTAAATCAGTTTTATTCTGAAAAACCGTAAGTTCACTAACTATTAACTTAATACTTTTATTCTGAAAATTATTCACTTCCGGTTAACATTATCATGTGGCGAAATGCTGCATTTTCAAACCGTGAATCAAAGGTGAAATGACATGTGATGTTGTACACTGAGCACACTGGGTTTAGCACTCATTTATTACCGCTGAATAACGTTTATTAGGGAATGTTTAAATAACCACAGAAACCAGAATGATATAATTTAACAACAGAAAAAGGCAGGAATTGCATTGGACCCGCCCCCGACGACGCCGGCCAATAGGAGAAGACCTCAGATGACAACAGGAAGAGCAAGCCAAGAATTGACCTCTTCGACCTGCTGACCTGGACTGACCGGTCGGATGAGGAGAGCGCCTCCACTCACACATTTCCTTTTGTACACCACCGCATCTTTTGTGTAATTAAATGCTGTTAACTTTTATAAGCTTCCCTTGACTCTTTTCAGTCTCTCCTGCCTTCAGGGTTCTAGAATACACTAACATGGCGTCTCTGGGTGGGCTCTGAAGCGGGATAGAGCTGGAAAAGAGGGGAAGGCTGCAAGCTAGCTAGCTAGCATCACACTAGGCTGCAGAAAATGAGTTTTTGGCTGGGCCTAAACGAAAGGTGAGACAGTTACCTGTTTAATTTCGTGGTGATTGCGAGTGGTGTGGAGATTGTATATAGTGTTTCTATTCGTCTCTGTTGTATCTTCGGCGCCGCCCGATTAATGTGAATATTACTGTTACAGCCGCTGCTACCTTGTGCCCTTAACTCTGGTTGTGTGTAGATGTAAATGAGCTGTGCAGTTCCTCTGCTATCATTGGCCGTCCCGACCTCTCAACATCCGCGGGGTTTGGACAGACGTCACCCAATCCCTGCTCGCTTCTGCCACGTCATCCGGGGGAGGAGTATAAAGGCTGGGCACGGACACCATTCGGGAGGCTCTGTATTGTGTGACAGATGCCTTAACCCTCTCATTGTGACAAAGCCTTCGTTCTGTGATTCTGTTAGCAGTGTGTTTTCTGTGCCTCGTTAGACTGCTTAGCAGTGTGTTTTGTGTGCTTCGCTCGACTGCTTAGCAGTGTGTTGTAGCATTTTGTGAGTATTGCTTAGTACTTTGCCCTAACCCAGGTGATTAGCGCCTGTAGATCAGCATTCTTGTGTGTATTGCTTAGACCCAGGTGATTAGCTTCTGTAGATCAGCATTCTTGTGTGTATTGCTTAGACCCAGGTGATTAGCTTCTGTAGATCAGCATTCTTGTGTGTATTGCTTAGACCCAGGTGGTTAGCACCTGTAGATCAGCATTCTTGTGTGGATTGCGTAGATCCAGGTGATTAGCACCTGTAGACCCGCACCAGCTGTGTTCTTCCACAGTCCGTTTTGTTTATTGTTTTGTTTCCACTTTAGAAGTGAGATTTTCTTTCCTTTTGTATAGCGGGGCAACTCTCTTTTGGAGACCCCTTTTGTTGGATAGTGACAGCTTGACCCGTTGTTGGGCCAAGCTGTTTGTGTAGCCTACATCATTTTACTTACTTGCCGTAACAATTAAACCACCGGTAACGTATACCAATTCCAATCTGGTCGTGTCGTGTCCTTTTGGTCCTCCTAGCCCAATTGGGAACGTAACAATTACATAGTATTAAGACCTTCTGGGGAGGCACTAGATTTTATCTGGGATAGGGTCCACATTGTGTTAAATACCTCTGGGTAGGTACCAGACCTGATCTGTTTTACACTGGACTGGGTCCATTCATGTTAGTCTATATGTTTGATGTGTTAAACCTGCGTAGTTTGGTTTAATAACGTATATTGTGTGGAGTTTTTAAGCCAAAAAGTATATTTTTGTGTGATGTTCTAAGCCGAAACGATTGTGTACAAGATTGGTATGAGATCAGCTTTTAAGGTCAGCATCTATAGAATTTAGAGCTAAGATAAATGAAGATTGTGTTTTGTGGTTTTTTTATCTGCAGATGTTGAGTGTTCCCATTGTTCCCCTTCCCCCAGTCACATGAGGTTAATGCTATACTGCTAAGCTAGTTAGCTAGCCAGTTAGCATTACTAGATGGTGAAATAGTTTGAGTAAAGATACAACCGGTAACTACTGATTAAATACACAGGGATGGTGTAGAATGTAGATTGAGTTGTTTTGTTTTTCATGCTTTTCAAAGAAAATAATTGTAACTTTATATTTTGAGGAAATAAACAGGAAGTAGGTTTATGAACCGGAAGTACTAGTTGATACATTTGAGAGGAGTTACAAATAAAACAGCTCCCCTAGCGGACATAATAAGTATTACAGTTAATACATTATTCACCACACTGCAGGTTTACTATTGTTCTAAGTAACAGTGGGATTTAAAATATTGGAGAAAATATGGAGATGTTCTTTCGTAGTGTGTGGAATATGTGATGCTGGAAACATGTAAGTTTTTCAATTTATAGGAGAAAATGGTTTCCTGAAAGAGTTGTGTTGGGTAAATATGTAACCATGGATGAAACAATTTTTAGAGTGAATTTTTGTAATATCATTAGTAGACATTAATTATGTTGTTTAGATGGCATTTAACAACTAAGACAGATAGTATGATTAGAAAGAGACAGAGTGGAAAGGGTTGGATTTATTTAACATCAGTGTGCTAGACTTCTTATAGGTAATGCGTCCCGAGACCTGGACTCCCCCTCTGAGTTAGAAAGGCTACGATCCCGACCCTCCAAGCAGACAAAAGACCTAACCCAACAGGAGACTCCTCCTTCTCCATCGTACAGACAGAGAACCAGAGCTGAACCAACAACAACAACAAGACTACATCAAGACTGCAGCCAGAACTATCTCCACCTGTGGCATCCAGAACCAAACAGCATGCTGACATACAGAGAAATACTCTCATCAGTCCCTCAGACGGGGCATGAAGTTCCAAGCTGAGCCACGAGATTTGGCACAAGAGCAAAGTGTGGGACATGAGAGCAGAATCCGCCCTCCATAAAAACAGCAGAGAGACTGTAAAGGAGGAGATGAAATGCAAAGCAGTACAAGAACAGTGGCATGATGGGGGCTGCAGATGTAACTGGGCCAATGGCTGCCTAAAAGAGTTACAGCGGATGGATTCAACAGCTGATGGACTGAAGAGAAGACAGAATCAGAGGAGTTGGCATGGTCGATTAGAAGTGAGGAGGCCGGGGTCACGGCTTGAGAAAACCAGGGGAGGAGAAAAGGAGAACGGGAATGAGTGAGTTTACACATAAACACACTTATTCACAAAACGCACATTTAAATAACTTGAATTAACTTCATAAATACGTAAAGACAGAAAGATGTATTAACCATGAATTAATCAATTGGTAAATTAAAAATAGCAGTAAAGAGGAAACTATTAAAGTAAAATGAGAATCATCCTAAAACACACTGAGGGATAAAGGGGGAGACATGACGGAGCAGAACCATATTCTTCAATATTTTCATCATGTTAGATTTGTATTTACGTGTGAATAAAGTAGTGATCTAATTTGTTACAATATTGATCACCATTAAAAGGATAGTTTTAGGAACCACTCTATAGGACAAATCTTTATTTGTATGGATAATGTTAAAGGGAGAGCTGGTGCCAAGCCACATATAAAATTCCAATCTAAAGTATTGATTTCACCATTGTAGCATAGTTATTACCATAGGAGGGCTTTAAGATGGAAATATAAAATGACTTCTGTTTTAAATCCTTGATAAAGGAGGGAGTAATTGTTGCATGTTCGGACACCCAAGGTTCCACACACTGCTAAAGAGTTTAACATTGTTTTTTAAGTAGACCAGAATTAAAGATAAATGAGTATAATGAGCTATGAAATGCATAGCAGAGCTACACAGATGCTAGTAATGTTTTAACTCAAGATAATAGTTATGTACACAAGTTTCTGAAATAGATCTATTAGACATTTTAATACTAATTAGGTGTAAATGAATTGCAGTAGTAGTAGTACTCTAAGAAGTGAGTTTTGTACCAAGTTTCAGGAAAGGTGGGAGGCAGAAGTCCCAATGAAAAGTTAGAACCATCTTGAAAATCATAGTTGAAATCATGAATGAATAAGGAATGGCGCTCCACATATGACATATGTTTGTAGATAAAGGGTACCCGCCTATGCTGAATTACCTCTGAAAAGACTCTGCAGAGCACGACATGGCCAAAAGACCGAGACCAAATGACCTTTGACCCTGACTGACAGTGTGACAAAAGCACTGTCCATGACTGACTCTGGGGTGTACCTGACCAAACCTGACGTGACAACCAGACGGTGTGAGTGTGAATGAATGCCGGCATGTGATCAGTGTAACTGCATGATTCTAAAACAATAACTAACCAAGCATGTTTTTGGACTAACATATTATTTTGGAGCTCCAAGGGAAACGAGAGGTTTCCTAAAAATTCCACAAAAATGGAAACCGCACATGTGACCCGTTTCTAATCTACTTGATATTTTACTCCCACAGGAGTTGGCGGTTTGCAAATGTAAAACTCAAACTAAAATCTGAAGGACGGAGAGAAACACTTATTTTCACTGAAGTGTTTACTGTGGAAATAATGATAATGGATGTAAAATTGTAAATAATGTTCGTTATGTCCCTAACCAATATTTACCTGACAGTTTTTGTTCCCCTCCCCATTACAGGGTTTTGTTACACATGAGTTCATGTGTCAAAAGGGGGGAGTGTGTATAATGTATAATGTCAACATGGCTGTAAAATTCACAATTTAAATGTGTCTAAGGATTGACAGAAACCTTCCGCCCCAACCCAGATGTTCAAACTGAGCATTGAATGATAGTTTTATAATTGACCTGCTCCATATCTGGGGATAAGATACTGTTTCATGAATGTTGACATGTTTATAAATATTGATTGAATTATAACAGGTAACACAGATGCAGAATCAGTGGCCAAGGGGCTACTGTGAGAGATGTAATTCCAGAATAGAATACCGAAGAAGTTGACCTGTGATAATGAAACAATTTTGTAATATTTTAACAGACATTAGAGTAACTAAGGTTTGAAATGTAGAAAGAACATATTACAGTTAAGTTAAGCTAAAACATAGTAATGTAATGAGACGGAATTTAATTTAGACAACATATTGTAACTAGCCTGTTAAAGAATTAGAAGTAAAAGCCATATACTTTATTGTTTAGTTCATTATGGGGATATACATTTAATTGTATTTCATAATAGAAAGACATTTGATGACAGTATGTTGGAATTCTGTATTCATTTTTCAGCTTGATAATAGACAGGTCGAAGCCGTATTGCCAGGTGCAATCCATGGGATTTCTGCACACGATCCAAGCAGAGAATGACGTACCTTACAGGACAGATACACTCAGGAAATCATTCACTCTGACAGCATGATGACTTTAGTCTCTCAGTGGATGTCTGCTCACCACCTCAAGCTCAACCTTGACAAGACTGAGCTGCTCTTCCTCCCGGGAAAAGATTGTCCAACTCTTGACCTGACAATCAACATCGGCACCTCAGTTGTTTCCCCGACTCAGACTGCAAGGAATCTGGGTGTGACCCTAGATAACAATCTATCCTTCACTGCAAACATCGCTGCTACAACCCGCTGCTGCAGATACACGCTTTACAACATCAGGAAGATACCTCCCCAGCTGACTCAGAAAGCGACTCAGGTTCTGGTCCAGGCTCTCGTCATCTCACGCCTAGACTACTGCAACTCCCTCCTGGCTGGTCTACCTGCATGTGCCATCCGACCTCTGCAGCTCATCCAGAATGCAGCGGCTCGTCTGGTTTTCAACCTTCCTAAATGTTCCCACACCACTCCGCTCCTCCGCTCCCTTCACTGGCTTCCGGTAACTGCTAGAATCCACTTCAAGACACTGGTACTTGCTTACCGTACTGCGAATGGATCTGGCCCTTCCTACATCCAGGACATGGTTAAACCGTACACCCCAGCGCGTGCACTACGCTCTGCATCAGCCAAACGACTCGTTGCGCCCTCGCTGCGAGGGGGACCCAACTTCCCATCGGCGAAAACACGTGGGTTTGCTATCCTGGCTCCAAGATGGTGGAATGAGCTCCCCATTGACATCAGGACGGCAGATAGCTTGCACAGCTTCCGGCGCAAACTGAAAACTCATCTCTTTCGACTCCACTTCGAGCGTTAGAACGATTAACGAAGCACTTTTATACTAATAAAGGACTGGATTACCTAAAGCCAGTTGAGTAGCACTTGAAATGTTTGGCTCTATGAAACCTGATATACTTATATGATTCTGTTTTCTTCAAGGTTGTGTCTTCCTGGTCGAATGTACTTATTGTAAGTCGCTTTGGATAAAAGCGTCAGCTAAATGCAATGTAATGTAATGATGACTTTAGTTGTTTTTTAATCCATAATGAAATTGTATTACATAACGTTAGTGTGTGTCTTTACCACAAACAGGAATAGTTCATTGTTATATTTAGATTTGAGAAAGATTACAAGGTTTTTATTTAGTTCACCATGAAGATGTTTTTTGTTTGTAACATATGCCCAGTAGTAAGATTCAAATATCAGTAGGTTCTGAATTATTATTCCTCTGTCCCACAACCAACAAGAATGTGGATGGGGAGAACTATATCTACTAGAACCAGCAGAGATTCATAAATTACACCAGAGACACAGTAAAAGTAAATAAAGAGTAATATTTAGCTATTTTCAGATAGTTTAATCCTTCTTATACTTTGTAAAAGAACAAGTGCCTTTACACCAGATACAGTAAGAAGATGATTTATGATGTGAAAGGAGGGAGTTAGACGTTTTCCATACCAAGCTAATTGCTGCTATTTTACAAAGTGA